AAACTAGAGGTGTTGAAGAATCCAGAAGATTAGGATTTGAGACAACATAAAGAATAAATGCACCGGCGCCATCGCAAACGATTTTGAGCCATGTCATTCAAGGTCTCTAACCATCGATTATTATCATCTCGCGGACCGCAACCAGGTAGTCGACAATTACCGACATGGCTCAGTCCACTAGTCAATGACTTCATGGATTTCTGCTATGTTTTGGTCTGGCCGCACCTAACTTTCTTCCAACCTATTCCTACACTACAAAACAAAGCTCATCGAGGCAGTCGGTGGTTAGGCATACTCAGCACATGTCCCACGCACCTCAACTGATGAAGTTTCAATACTTCATCTATTGATCTGCCATTCTTACCTGGCACCCGATTCCTGATAACATTGTTGCTTACTCGGTTGTCCCACGGTATACGAGCAATGCTTCGAAGACACCTATGATCGAAAACCAGTAACCTACGAATAATAGCAACGCTATAAGTAGTTAACATTCCCTAAGTTTATGAAATCATCAATCAATCAACCTCAGACTACACATTAATAGAAACCTGGAACCACTGAAAGATAGTCGTTTCGTTCTCGTATGGTATGGATCAGTCGCAGTGCGCATTCACAACTCTTGCACCTTACAGGATACGAACCTAGGACCCTGTGGAATTGTTCATAATATCAACTGTTATTATTATTGTGAAACACTATCCATTCTACTATCACAAATATTGATTAAGCTATGTGCAACTATGCACTAACATTCAAGTAAACAGTAAAAACACATCATTCATTTATATAATTAATGATAAATCACACCATAATATGTATGTATGTAAGTCATTTCATTAGTATTTTTTAAAATCATCAAAACTAATAGAGAGAGAGAGATAAAAAAATAGTTGAATATTAATTAGTTTAGACCTAATTAAATTTTGAAATTTACAACTTTTCAAGGAAAATACCTAAATAACTGCTAACACAAGGAGATGTGATTTTTAAAGTTCATTCACGTTGCGACTGATATAATGATTACGAAAGTCATTGATTTTGTGTAACAAACAATTGAATGGAAGTCATCACTTCAATGACTATGAGAAAGCATTTGATAGTATGGATAGGACAACACGATGGACACTTCTTCGACACTGTGGTGTGCCTGAGAGTATAGTCAACATCATATAGAATTCTTACGATCGATTAAACTGTAAAATTGAGTATGGAGGACAGTTGATAGACAGGTTTAGGGCGAAGAGCGGTGCCAAGTTAAGGTTGCTTACTCTCACCCTCACTCTTTCTCCTGGTGATCGACTGGATTATGAAGATGTCAACATCTGGAGGGAAGCACGGGTTACAGTGGACAACTAAGATGTAGCAGGACGATCTGGACTTCGCTGATGAAATGGCTCTTCTATTGTACATGCAACAACATATATGCAAGAGAAGACGACCAGTGTAACAGCAGCGGGTGTCAATATACACAAAGGTAAAAGCAAAATTCTCCGATACAACGCAACATGTACCAACCAAATCACTCTTAATTGAGATGCCTTCGATGATGTAAAAACCTTTAAATTTTTAGGCAGCATCATTGACGAGCAAGATGGATCTGATGCAGATAGGAAGGCGCGGATTGGCAAAGCAAGGACAGCATTTCTACAAGTGAACAACATCTGAAACGCCAAACAACTATCAACCAACATCAAAGCCAGAATTTTCAATACAAATATCAAGACAGTGTTACTGTATGGGGCAGAAACTTGAAAGACTATCAAAGGCATCATCTAGAAGATACAAGTAATTATTAACAATTTTCTGCGCAAAATACCTTGGATCCCTTGGCCAGACACCATCAGCAACAACCTACTGTGGGAGAGAAAAAACCAGATTCCAGTGGAGGACAAAATCAGGAAGAAACACTGGGGACGAATAGGACATGCATTGAGGAAAGCTCCCAACAGTGTCGCAAGTCAAGCCTTCTGTAGGAATCCTCAAGGTCAAAGGAAAAGAGGAAGGCTGAGAAATCGAAACAAACATGAGAAGGTTGAACAAAAACTGAACAGAACTGAGAAGGGAAGCCCAGGAAGGAGTAGGTTGGAGAATACTAGTCGACGGCCTATGCCCCATTGTGGTAACAGGAGTAAGTAAGTAAGTAAGTAAGTAATGTCATTAATTTATGTCACTCTTTATTGTGGACTGTTTCAGATTGAAAAAAATTTGAAATACTAGATTTGAACTCTTCGGTAAACGTGCTCGTAACAAATTCTGAAGGTCTTCGGCCTGACACCTGCTAATGAATGACGCAAGTGTACACTGCTTCATGGAATAACATTACAGCTAAACAGCTATCTGGGACTCAATTGAAACTACAATACTTTACTATAATCTTTGTGAATAAATCATGTTTTCTGTCCAGTAGATGAATACATTTTCCAAAGATGCTTACTAATATTCATCGTTAATGTGTTCAGAAAAACATCTAATCATTCCCTGGTGGTGATGTTTCGTTCTCTGAGCTATACCAATCAATCAAGATCGAAGTTAACAGAATAAGCTATGGGTCAAACGTAGAGAAATGAAAATACCTCATTTCTATCTGAAGTTTGTGCTGATGATGTTGTTCAGATGTAAATGATGAAAGCTACATGTTAGGATATTCATCCAATATCCTAAGAGAATTATTGGTCAATTTCTATTGGTTAAATCCTACTGGTCAATTTTATGGTCGTCCTAGATATCAATGTCATTTACTCCAATGTTGTTTCTTATTGGTTGTCCTGACTATCAAATGTCCTCATTGCTTCCTATTGGATCGTCTTAACTGTCCAATGTTCACAGACTTCGATGCCTGTTTCCCATTTCGAACAAAATGCATATAAATACGCATATTATATGTAACGGTTTATGACCACGACCAGGACCTAGGTGACCGGATCCACTAGTCCGTGATCCGTGGATTCTCTTCTGGACTTCGGAACCTCGTGACTTTCTAGGAGGCTTGTAGAATACGGTAGCCGGTTCTACTTCATATCAAGTCTTGTCTTCTTTCACTCAATATGGGGTTTGGGAATAATCGGATGTAGCGTATCGTGTCGCCGGATCCTCGCTGCTCGTTTCCCGACTAGAATAAACTCGTTAATATTTCAAGTATATCAAGTTGACGTGTTTATGTGCAGGCGTAACACTACACAACCAAAACATCCAGCTCAGAGAACAAAACACCACTACAATCATCCACCTGAACTATAAATCATTCCCTTTTCATCTAGATTAGCCTATGAGCATTGAATATCCTCATGTGTGATAAGTATTGCATTTATGGATGTAACCAGACAGATCAAAACATTCCATCAACATTGAATCACACAATACAATCATCAATCAACCTGTAATGATCGATAGAATCTACCAAATGTACAGTGAGTTAGTTGAATGCTTATGTGAAGATTTTGATGGTTATCAGTTAATCAAAGTAAGTAGATAATCATTGTGAAAAAAACTTACTGAGTCAATGACATTTTCTTATTCATTATAACTAAAGGTGTATTCTTCAGATACAATTCTAAACCAAAGAAAAACAAACAAATTCCTGGAACTCGTAAGTTTGAATGCTTGTTGTCTATGTGACTGAATATTGAATTCAACTTTTGTTCAGAAAGTAATTTAAATGATCATGTTTATCTAATCCTTGGAATACTGATTAGATCTTGAAGTTTAAAGGTATGAGATCGAATCCTGTCGGAGAGCACCAGTTTCTTCAAGAGTACAGGCACAAATTGTTGACAAGTTACCACCCTTCGACTACCTCCAACCAATAAGTAATCAATTTTGTTAAACAACATAATCACTTTTCTGTAGTTTCATTTATGAGTCAGCTACAACGTAGAATTTTGTACGCACGTACGTACATCAGTTCAAGTTGCCATACCACATTAGCACACAGAGAAGCAATTGTCACTTTAAATCCCATAGTAGTAGTGTGGTGCGCGCTACTTATAAGTAGTGTATGACGCGAGTGTAAACGTAATGTCTGGCAGCAGAAGATGGGGGAAGATCAAGAAAGGAAGAAGAATGGGAACACAATTGGGTTTGTATGAAACGCATGAAGAGTGAAATGTCCAGACAATGGATTGATGATGGATTGAAGATTTGCAAATTAACCGTTTACGATATGGTTTTCCTATTTTACTGAGTAACTCTTTAATTTTCGTTAAATACGATTCGGTTGCCCTCACCTGTGTTCTCCTTCACTACAGTAGAAGTATTAGCAGTAAAGTTCAAAAACATTATTAAAGAAGTGTAGTTCAGTGAAAAAAAAATTTAAAAAGAGAAAGATAGAGATTATGAGGAATTCAGAAGATTAAAATTTAAGAAAACACACAGAATGAATGCACCTGCGCCATGGCATTCAAAGTCTCCCACCACCGATTATTATCATCTCGCGGACCCCAACGACATAGTCTACATCTATTAACATGACTCAGTTCATTTGTTAGTCACACTTTATAAATTTGTGCCATGTTTTGGTTTTAGCCGCCCATAACTTTCTTCTAACCTACTCCTACACCACAAAACATAGCTCACAGAGGCAGTCGGTCGTTGGGCACATATAACACATGTCCCAACCATCTCAACAGATGAAAACTCACTACCTGCATCCCTACCTAGTACTCGTTTCCTAATAATAGCATTTACTTAAATTATATCATATTGAATGAGAATATTTCTAAAGCTAGTAAATCATTATGCAATCACTTGTGTTCACAACTAATTTTTACATGTTCACACACACACACACACACAAAAATATCATCACATTACTTGTAAGAATTGAATATAGAACAAATTGAACGCCACAGTCAAATAGCGCCATTTTCAAAAAATATATACACAGATTTCCCACAAAATAAAAACATTCAATTTAAACATGTACTTTGGATGAAATAAGGATTGAAAAAAAGAAAAAGATAGGAATTCTCTTTTTAAAAATTCAATTTTACATAACTTACCGTTTTTGTAATTTGTCATCTGACGTTTCAGCTACATACGTTCTTAATTCATAATCTACACCACATGGCTAAGAGGGAGAGAGATAGAGAGAGAGGAAAATGAACTATTATTATTATGATACTGTTTGGGATTTATGTAATTACACATTTTTTGAAACCATGAATCGATCGATGTTAGAGAACCACTAGAAACCTGGAAGCACTGGACGGCCGTTTCGTCCTGGTATGGGACTCCTCAGCATTGCGCATCCATCAAGACTGTATATGAGGTTGCGCAACTCCGTGAATTGATCAAGTTAGACATTAACAGCGTTAGATACCGGCTAAGTGGTCTAAACGGTTTAGGGCTTTCGCGCACAATACCGAAGGTCCTGGGTTCGAACCCTGCGGGATGCAGGAGTCGTGGATGCGCACTGCTGAGAGGTCCCATACCAGGACGAAACGGCCGTCCAGTGCTTCCAGGTTTCTAGTGGTGCTCTAACATCGATCGATTCATGGTTTCAAAAAATGCGTAACTTAATAATCTTCACAACTCCTGTAATTTATGTAATTATTGTTTCGAATAATAGTATAAATGTATAATTCATGTTAATTAAGCTGATTAATTAATTCATAAACTTTGGATTGATGTTATTAACTCAGTAGTATCAAATGAACTGGCGAAGATGTAGTGAGTGATAGATAAGCTATGTATGGCATATTGTATTTTCTTTTGTATATAAATAAAGTTTTTGACATTGTCTTTTTGAATAATATTTTCAAATATATTTAGCTTTTCCCTTTAGTCATCACGATTATATTGTTTCGAATTATTTAAATAACCATTTGGCCAGTACCATCTTGATGGTCTGGTGACTGGAGGAATCTCAGCACGCATACAGAAGGCTTGAATGGCTTTCGTCAACTTGCATCATGTATGGCGTAGGTGAGATATCCGTCTGCTAAACAAAGGTCGAGTGTACGGCGCATCAGTTCGCTGTGTCCTAATTTATGGCTGTGAAACATGGCCAGTGAGAGTAGAAGATATTCGTGGGTTACTAGTTTTCGATCATAGGTGTCTCCAAAGCATTGCTCGTGTACAATGGGACAACCGAGTAAGCAATGCTGTTGTTAGGAAACGAGTTCTAGGTAAGGATAGCAGATCAATAGATGAAGTATTGAAACTTCATCAGTTAAGGTGGCTGGGATATGTGTTACGTATGCCTAACCACAGACTGCCTCGACGAGCTATGTTTTGTGGTGTAGGAGTAGGTTGGAAGAAACCTAGGGGCGGCCAGACCTAAACATGGCACAAATCCATGAAGTCACTGACAAATGGACTGAGTCATGTTGGTAGATGTAGACTACTTGGTTGAAGTCCGTGAGACAAAAGTCACCAATGGTTAGATACCTTGAACGACACGGCTTGAAATCGTTTGCGATGGCGCAGGTGCATCCATTCGTTGTGCTCTCTCAAATCCTAATCTTCTGGATTCGTCAGCACATCTACCTTTGTCTTTCTAACCTTATCTCACTGAATTATACTTCTTGAATATAATATCTTCGAACCCTAGTCTTCTTCATTACCATTAATACCTCTCCTATCTTTATCACTATGAGATTTGATTTTGACATTTACGTCTCTCTGTGCTAATGTGGTATGGCAACCTGAACTGATGTACATACGTACGAAGTTCTTACGTTGCAACTGATTGACTGACTGACTGACTAACGAAAATTCAACAAAAAATTAACAGTGCATTATTTTTTTTCTAAAAATTTGGCATTAAAAATACATATTTGTGATGTTTTGTTGATATTATAACTCATTTCAAGGACGATAGTTTTCAAATATCAATATTTGAGTTAATTGGCATATCTTTTTTATCTAATTGTATGAACTAATGATTGTAATAAAAAACTGTTTCTTAATGTCGTGACCTGTTGAACAGAACTTATCTGACATATTGATATGAAAATTATTGAAATGTTTAGACAAATAAAATGAATTATCAATAACATAAGTGAAACTAATAAGAATTTTCGGTAATTAAGTGAAACTAGATTATGGCAATAAGACAGACAGACAGACAAACAGAGAGACAGACAAATACAACGCAGAACTTCGTACATAAGTAGATCAGTTCAGATTGCCATATCACATCATCACAGAGACGCAACTGTCAGTTCAAATCCAAGAGTGATAGCGCGATAGTAGAAGTATTACTGGTAATGGAGAAGATTAGGGTGCGAAAATATGATTCAAAAAGTATAATTCAGTGACATAAATTTAGAAGGAGAAAGATAGAGATTATAAGGAATTCAGAAGGTTAGAAATAGAGAGAACACAAAGAGTGGATGCACCTGAGCCATCGCAAACGATTCTGAACCATGTCATTCAAGGTCTCTAACCATTGTTGACTTTCGTCTCGCAGACCCCAACCAGATAGCCTACATCCACCAAACATGACTTAGTCCACTTGTCAGTGACTTCATGGATTTCTGCCATGTTTTGATCTGGCCACCCCAACCTACTCCTACACCACAAAACATAACTCGTAGAGGCAGTCTGTGGTTAGGCATTCGTAACACATGTCCGAACCACCTCAACTGATGAAGTTTCACTACTTCATCTATTGAATTGCCAACTTTACCTAGAACTCGTTTCCTAACAACAGCATTGCTTACTCGGTTGTCCCACGATATACGAGCAATGCTTCTTAAACATCTATGATCGAATACTAGTAACCTACGAACATCTACTCTTAACGGCCATGTTTCGTATCCATATAATAGGACAGAGCGAACTGCTGCGCAGTACACCCGTCTTTCGGTTAACAAACGGATATCCCGCCTGCGCCATAAGTGACGCAGGTATTATGACGATAAATATGTTTTAAAACCATTATTAACACATTCAATGTCAATAATTGATACTGTAACGTTTGTAAAGCCATCAATATTCAACAATCAGTTTAGTGACTATCTTTGAGACACATTTCATACAACTGTAATATATCCATGCTCCAAGACGCACACTGTTAAGATGTTTCATGACTATAATAATAGTCATGAAACATCTTAACAGTGTGCGTCTTGGAGCATGGATATATTACAGTTGTATGAAATGTGTCTCAAAGATAGTCACTAAACTGATTGTTGAATATTGATGGCTTTACAAACGTTACAGTATCAATTATTGACATTGAATGTGTTAATAATGGTTTTAAAACATATTTATCGTCATAATACCTGCGTCACTTATGGCGCAGGCGGGATATCCGTTTGTTAACCGAAAGACGGGTGTACTGCGCAGCAGTTCGCTCTGTCCTATTATATGGATACGAAACATGGCCGTTAAGAGTAGATGTTCGTAGGTTACTAGTATTCGATCATAGATGTTTAAGAAGCATTGCTCGTATATCGTGGGACAACCGAGTAAGCAATGCTGTTGTTAGGAAACGAGTTCTAGGTAAAGTTGGCAATTCAATAGATGAAGTAGTGAAACTTCATCAGTTGAGGTGGTTCGGACATGTGTTACGAATGCCTAACCACAGACTGCCTCAACGAGTTATGTTTTGTGGTGTAGGAGTAGGTTGGGGTGGCCAGATCAAAACATGGCAGAAATCCATGAAGTCACTGACAAGTGGACTAAGTCATGTTTGGTGGATGTAGGCTATCTGGTTGGGGTCTGCGAGACGAAAGTCAACAATGGTTAGAGACCTTGAATGACATGGTTCAGAATCGTTTGCGATGGCTCAGGTGCATCCACTCTTTGTGTTCTCTCTATTTCTAACCTTCTGAATTCCTTATAATCTCTATCTTTCTCCTTCTAAATTTATGTCACTGAATTATACTTTTTGAATCATATTTTCGCACCCTAATCTTCTCCATTACCAGTAATACTTCTACTATCGCGCTATCACTCTTGGATTTGAACTGACAGTTGCGTCTCTGTGATGATGTGATATGGCAATCTGAACTGATCTACTTATGTACGAAGTTCTGCGTTGTATTTGTCTGTCTCTCTGTTTGTCTGTCTGTCTGTCTTATTGCCATAATCTAGTTTCACTTAATTACCGAAAATTCTTATTAGTTTCACTTATGTTATTGATAATTCATTTTATTTGTCTAAACATTTCAATAATTTTCATATCAATATGTCAGATAAGTTCTGTTCAACAGGTCACGACATTATGAAACACGTTTTATTACAATCATTAGTCCATACAATTAGATAAAAAAGATATGCCAATTAACTCAAATATTGATATTTGAAAACTATCGTCCTTGAAATGAGTTATAATATCAACAAAACATCACAAATATGTATTTTTAATGCCAAATTTTTAGAAAAAAAATAATGCACTGTTAATTTTTTGTTGAATTTTCGTTAGTCAGTCAGTCAGTCAATCAGTTGCAACGTAAGAACTTCGTACGTATGTACATAAGTTCAGGTTGCCATACCACATTAGCACAGAGAGACGTAAATGTCAAATCAAATCTCATAGTGATAAAGATAGTAGAGGTATTAATGGTAATGAAGAAGACTAGGGTTCGAGGATATTATATTCAAGAAGTATAATTCAGTGAGATAAGGTTAGAAAGACAAAGGTAGATGTGCTGACGAATCCAGAAGATTAGGATTTGAGAGAGCACAACGAATGGATGCACCTGCGCCATCGCAAACGATTTCAAGCCGTGTCGTTCAAGGTATCTAACCATTGGTGACTTTTGTCTCACGGACTTCAACCAAGTAGTCTACATCTACCAACATGACTCAGTCCATTTGTCAGTGACTTCATGGATTTGTGCCATGTTTAGGTCTGGCCGCCCCTAGGTTTCTTCCAACCTACTCCTACACCACAAAACATAGCTCGTCGAGGCAGTCTGTGGTTAGCCATACGTAACACATATTCCGACCACCTCAACTGATGAAGTTTCAATACTTCATCTATTGATCTGCTATCCTTACCTAGAACTCGTTTCCTAACAACAGCATTGCTTACTCGGTTGTCCCATTGTACACGAGCAATGCTTTGGAGACACCTATGATCGAAAACTAGTAACCCACGAATATCTTCTACTC